ATCTGCTTCGGGTTTGTCCGTAGACTGTTTCCATGTGTTTTTGCCATGCGAGTCTGTCTCATGTCCAAATTGTCGCAACTGTGATCTTCTGACCTGGATAAGGACCAATTCATAAACGCATATTCCTCAAAACTGCATTGCTCTGAACCTCTTCACTCTTTATACCAGTAGTTCTTCAAAGAAATCTCCACGATCCAGCATACATGATTACAGATAGAAGCCTAGACAGACTTGAACTCAGATTGCTCTAACAGCTAAGACAGCTTTTATCCGACAGTTTTTTTGTTTGTGTTGCTTTTTCCACAGTTCACTCTGTCGTTTCTTGTGGATAAAATAAAATTTTCTTTTAACCTAATCCATTCTTATCCAATATTTAATTTTGTGTTTCTATAAATTGAGTCTGCTTTTATGAAATCGATGTATTCTTTAAATATAGATAATCTGTTGCTGACATCCTTCAGTTGGTTTTATTTCAGCTGTTTGAGACGGTTTTTGCAGTTCACCTAACTGCCGCTGATTGTCTTCCACTGCCGAACTTGATTATCTGGCGTCTGAAATTGGTGAGTGTTAATGTCAGTGGTTACTGCTGAATATGTATGCTTTGTTTTTTTGGAAAAACTTCTTTATGTTGATTGAACATCTGTTATTTTGTCAAAATCTATCCGTTTTTCTCATCGTGTCCTCATCTTCTTCGTCATCGTCACTTAAGATGGTCTGCTGCGGTTTGCCTAATGTTTCTAAGTTTAGGCTCTTATGCTCCACTGGAACAAATCCTCTTTCGTTTGTGAAGAGATCACTTTACGGCTCATCGCAGAATTGCTTAAATCTTTCAAGAGGTCAAGAATTGCTGACGTGGTTTTCGAGCAGTTAAAGAAAAACATTCATACGTTTCATGAAAAATTTCTAACATCATTTGACGCTTTGAACAATTTTCATACCACCAGGTAATTTCCTTAAGATATTTAATAAATGGTCATTTACTATCTCAGAACTGATTTTTACTGTTGTATGAGGGTTCATAAATTAAAGCGAGAAAGAAATTAGAAACAGGGATTACACTTTGTAATAGACAAAACACATTGAGCGTCATAAGATTCACTCGATTAAGTTTTAAATGTGACTCGAATATCGTTTCAGAGATTTCTGAATGCAAACATCAAGCCACGTATCTGAGGTCTATTCAGATCTTCCGTGAACAGTGTCCAAGTAGCCATTTTTCCATTTTCTAATGCTATAGCGGTTTAAAGAAATTCTCTTTCTCGGTTAACAGGACGATTGGATGCATGGTTTAGTGCGTTCAGCGTTCAGTTCATTACACTTGTAAAGGTATAGGGCAGAATTTTTGGTGCAGTACTTATTAATGAAGATAGATTTACTTAAGCTTAGGTGTTCGATTTTTCGCTGCTCTTTCTTTCTTATATATAAGAGTGAAGCGAATACTTCGATTTTTCCAGGCAGGTTACAGCAGTCTGTGTAGGCCGACTATTGCTAGCCATATTTGAATTATGCTTCATTTTGTAGCTGAAGATGGAGAAAATTGGCGTACAGTTCTTACGTTTCGATCTAACTGATTTTCTGTCCGCTTTTACAGTTCATCTGTTTTCCAAACTAGCGCACCGGTATTAATTAGACGGTTTATTATCGTCTCTTTGATATGCGTAATATATGTCGTAATAGGGAAGGTTACAGCTTGATGTTGCGTTGATATGCTATATTTCTCATATCTGACACCAGTGATATCTTCTTAACAGGTGGCATCTTCTTCTATCAATCATTACTATCGTTTCGATAGTCTTGTCCATAGATTTTTTTCTTTCAAATAATAAACGCATTGTGAACAACTTTAACCGTGCTTTCTGTTGTGATTAATACAGAAATTTCCCCTTCCGCTCCTTCCGTGTAGACTTTTACTCTAGGCTGCGTGTATTTCCCGTAAACAAACCAGCAAAGGCATGAAAAGCTCCAGGTGCCAGAGTCCTGCTTACCGTCGTTTCGGGCCGCTTGATAGTCTTGCTTTTGTAGCAGTTTAGTAGAATGTACTCCACTGTTCGTTTTCCTGATACTTGATAATGTGTTTATGTCGTTTAACCTCTCCCCGATGGGGATGTCCAGGTAGAATTGCGGAGAACAGTTTAATTTCGTATCACTGCCCTTTTCTGCTTTTGTTTTTTGTGAATGGGCATTTAACTGTTATTGTCCACTTTAAGAGATCAAAATAAGACGATGAAACGAGATCAGAGTAACAGTCCTTCTATCAGCTTCGGCATCGGCATGATAATGAATACTAATTGAAACTTTTGAATTCACGCACTACATGTCTACGATTTGAAGATGCAGCCCCGAACCACGCATATTATCATCTCACTGCATTTTCCTGTGTTATTTTCCTGTGTTCTTTTGTTTGTCCTTTAGTCAGTCGCTTGTATATGTTTTTTAGATTAAAAAAGGCTGAAGAACAACGTCTTCTTCTTCGCAAGCAGCACGTTCCCTCGTTAGCCGGCTTATTCTTGCAAAGTTTGGCAATCAAACACTGTCTGCTGCATGGTTAGGGTTCAAATTTGAGCTATTTCCTGATTCTTGCCCTGAAACGTATGCTTAGGTATGCCTAAAATGGGCAGCGAGATCGGGCGCGGTCAGTACGGCGTGGTGTTTGCGTGCAGCAACTGGGGAAATCACGGCTCTTGCGTAGCCAAGTCGGTTGTCCCCCCGGACAAGCGTCATTGGAACGACCTCGCCCTCGAACTCTTCTACACGCTGTAAGCTGTTCGGCTTTACCGCAAAGTTTACCGTAATCCTCTTTAGAAATCTGCCCAGCTTTGACCACGTTGTGAGGATTCACGGTGTTGTCATCGATCACAAATACGGCGACGGCCTCAGCGAGTTCCCCTCGGTGCTGATCGTCATGGAGCGAATGAATCGCGATTTGTACGCTGCTCTGAAAAAGGGCTTAAAGTTTCACGTTCGAATCAGGATCGCCATCGATGTCATTCAGGGTTTGCGGTTCCTGCATTCTCAAGGACTCATACACCGGGATGTGAAACTCAAAAATGTGTTGGTAAGTTGGTACTCGTTTTGCAGATCTAAACTTTGCGTTTGCGTTGCGGCAAGCAGGCATATGCCAAAGTAATGGATCGCATGACAGGGCAAGCTACAGCATCTTTTTGTCTGTGGTGAAGACCTGTCTTGAATATTGTAATGGCGTATAATGGTGAGGTATGTCAGACGTCTTTTTCGCATTAGCACAAGTATATTCTGGAGCAGGATGCTTTAACTATAAACGGCGAAATGAATTGCATACTGTCGTCCGTATAAATCCCCAAGAACAGTAGGAAATTACCAAATAAGGGATCCCTAATCGTTAGCTTTGATCTTTATCGAAATGATTCATTTCGTGCATTTGATGCAATCCATTGCGAAATCTGGTTTGCTATAGTCATTCATTACTTGATATACTCAGGCGTACGAACAGCTTAGGATGTTTAAGCGATGACATATAAAGAGTAACAACCCCTGAAAGCGCTTTCGTAATGGGCACAAGGTGACTGTAGGGGGCGAAATG